ATATATATGAGCAATAGTCTCTCCTCTCACCGGCGGAATGGAGGAAGATGTAAACTACCCCCCAACAACAACCCCCCCCCTCGCTGGGGGGGGTGGGGAATTCTGGGAGTTGAAGTCCACTCATCTTCAAGTGGCCCAGGTTGAGAAACACTGCTCTACACCATACTGATTCTCTTGCAGACTAGAAGGGCATGTCAGGAGTTTATGCTTCGTGCTTTAAACTATCATTAAATGCCAACTCAGATTTAATTGTAGCAGCAAACTAAGCACTGGGGATTCTGACTCATACCTGTTCAATAAAGAAAACCAGAGACTCAAGTTCATATTAAGAAGGAACTAAGCTTTGGTCAAAAATGGGGACAAGAGCTTAGATTTGCTTTCCTGGTGTGTAAAAGAGGAGGGGAGACTGGAAACCAAAGTCATACCACTGCTTATTCACAACATGACAGTCATTATTGACAATACATCATTATTGACAAAGGGGCACTGTTTACAAAGGTCCTGATTTTGATGCACAATCAGCCCCCCCCCCATAATCAAATGATGTCGTCATGGGAAGCGAGGGCGGCTTTTTCTTTTGCCAACTCTGATTTATCCCTGTTATTTCCTTGAACAGGGAAATGCCATTTCAAGGCAAGAAATGGAAAGACACCCAAATGTACAGTGGTACCTCGGTTCACGAACTTAATTCGTTCCACGATTCTGGTCACGAACCGAATTGGTCACGAACTGAATCAAATTTCCCCATAAGGTTCAATGTAAATAAGGTTAATCCATTCTGACCCCTACGAATGTGGTCGCCAACCGATTTTGGTCACCAACCGAATCAAATTTTCCCATAAGGTTCAATGTAAATAAGGTTAATCCATTCTGACCCCTACGAATGTGGTCGCCAACCGATTTTGGTCACCAACCGAATCAAATTTTCCCATAAGGTTCAATGTAAATAAGGTTAATTCCTTCTGAACCATATGTATTTTTTAAAAAACTACAAAAATATGAAACAAAGTACAATACAGTACAGTATGAAGAGAGAGAACACTAACCTTGCTCCAGGCTACTTCTGGCATGGAGGACAGGAAGGCGGGTGGGAGGCGATTATTGTTTGGAGGGAG